TTTGGGTTTCAAGAACCTTTGTTATGAAATTCTTTAAGTCTTAAGCCACACTTGATGGCAAAGCTTTCGTAAACTCATGTTCGAAGTTGCCTTCTTTAATCCTCCTTGTGAGCGATCTTCGGCACACATCCGGTCAACCGTTCAATTCTGGTGTTTCTTTTGCTCAGGCTGGGATTGTAGGACATGGTAGGCTTGACATGTGCTGATGCATGGTGATGTCCAGACACCGTTCAAGGTTTGCCGAGGGCGGCAAAGCCTTTGCCTCAGAAACTGAAAGCTGGTGAGAGCGTTGGGATCAGCAGCAGAATCTGCAAGAGCTTGCAGGCCCTGCAGGGACAGTGAATGCCACAATTCGCAGTATGTACATTCACGCAGTCCAGACTTAAGCCCAATGCGCCACTGCAGCTTGCTAAGACCTGCCAAGACCATACGGGGCGCGGGGGGGGGGGGGATGGGGGGGGTAGGGAAGGGAACGCTGTGGGGGTGCGGGGGTTGGGCATGCACTGGAACGCAGTAGATGAAGCACTAAAGGCATGGGGTGCTAGAGGGTAAGGGAAGGGCTTAGGTGGGGGGGGGGGGGGAGGGGCTGGGGGTGAGGGCGGTACTAAGAAGCAGTGGGTCTTCACTGACGCCGCCCCCGGCTGGGGTCGGCGGATACGATTTATATGGTATGCCTATGCATGCATCCCCTTGACTTTGCATGCTTTGCTGCATATGGGCAGTTGGGGTTTGTCATGGTCTTATTCTGCAGGGCGGGGCCACCGAGAGCGACAAGGCCGAGTTCATTCTTGAAAGCACAGCACCAGTCTCAGCGTTCTGAGCACATGCTGCCGGAATTATCCGGAATAGAAATCTGAAAGGGGCTTAAGGCACTCTGTGAATGCGCAAGCCTGTTGACGCCTACACTGAGGGGCCCACCGTCGGAGTTGAGACGCCTGTAAGCTGGGACCACACTAGGCAAGTTGCCCGATTGACATAAAACCAATAGAAAAACACGCCGACAAGTCTGCGAAATGTGTGAAAGGCTGCGCGACTACCTCCTGTGGGCAAGAGAGAAGGCACTGGACGAGGATCCCCCGGAACGGGCTTGCTCGCCAGGGTGCATACTTCGACTTCGACTCTTTCATCTGCGGCTTCGTCAGTGAATCGTCAGATCAGGATGATGAGCCCGGGGCTGCTGTCTTGCTGGAGACGTGCTCCCGGCACATCCCGGCACACCCTTGGATTACGTTCATATACTTCTACAACAGTATACAACAGTCGCCGTTGTTGCGGGCAGGGAAACATTGAAGAGCGAGGTATTTCCAGAAACTGCGGTCGACATCCCTGGTCTCGGGCGGTGGTGGCGGTGTAACCGCACGCACGCTTGAGAGCACCTGGCTTGCACTTACCCATGGCTGAAGTGGCTTGACGTCACGACAAGGGTTAGAAGCAAATAGACTCATGAATGTGGATTGGCGTCTTGAGGCCTTGTCCGCCTTGCACAAGCACATGCGAAGCTCATGGGCCGCAGGCAACATGAAGCGCTCTTGGCACTGCACGCATCTCTACGATTGCATGTGTCTTTTTCCGGTTCTTCCTTGTTCAGGAGTGTTTGGATTGAAGACGCCGTGGCAGTCGTAGTGTTGCACCGTGCCTCTCTGCAGGCCGCCTCTGCTGATTCCAGCTGTCTAAAGGCACTTGCTAGAGAGCACCGCCGTATGACGTAGTCACATCTTGGCAGGCGCGAGCCGGTTGTTCACAAGATGTTGGGTCGAAAGTCCAAAGTGTCTTAATCTTGGCGTGCAGAGCCGCTTCAACATCGATGATTTCTTACTTGTCTCTTGTTGTCGGATTCCAGAGCTAGGCAGCTAGGCATGTCACATTTCTCTAGTTCTCTTTTTCTGCAAATGCCCGCAAGCTTCTCTACCCGCCCCTTGCCCGCCTCCGGAAGCTTCCCACAGGCTCTTAGGCTCCAGGGCTTCTCCCAAGGGCAGTGATTTGTCTCCAGGATCACGTGGTGGGTGCAGAATCCCTGCAGCGGCCTCATATTGTGAATCACACAGGTCACACACACACATGCAGAGATTGTCTGAGCCTTGCACAAGCCACCAGGCCTTCTGGCGAAGACTTTGCACCCAGCCTTCGGGACTGGCAGGACGAAACTGCCGCATGCCGGGTCCTTGGGTCCCTCATAGTTCGACGAGTCCAGTGTCATCCAGTCTCCATTCTGTGCAGGCGGGGTCAAGGTCTCTTTGGAGGGCAACTTGCCAGCAACCTCTCTCCAGAGTGTGCTAGTGGTCCCGCATGGTCCAGCATGGTCCCGCCAAATCCAGAGCCTTGAGGACTGGATCTTCACCACGGTACCGAGATTCGGAATCAGGACGTCTACACGCATCTGGAGGAGGCTCGGGCCGGCTCCGGCTCGGAGGTTGAGAGTCTCAACGTCTCAACCGAAAGATCATTCGTAGATTGGTGTAGATTCGCGTAGTGGTTAGACTTGAGAAGATGTGCAACATCGAGACAACACGAGCAGTCCGCGAGGCCATCCTGCGAAGCTTGAAGCTGCGCCAGGGCATGATCTCCGAGAGTTTTTAACTACATTTATCTGGATTTGCTAAAGTCTACACAAAGCTAAATTTAAAGCGAAACCTTCTAAAAATCAGTTGCATATCTGACCTGCTCATGCTGGGTGCTTTGAAGTTCTTGAAGCTCTTGAAGTGGAGTGAGGTGCCGCTCTGGCAACGACAAGAGGCATCTCGTGCCATTGCAACAGGCTGCAGGGGCATGCTTTGTTGAAGGTTGCCTAAAATGGACAGAGATTGCACAGATAACATATCGTGTGTCGCCGCTTCTCGTACCATACGCGAGTCATCCTACACTCCGGAAAGTCGAGGCCATGGCAATTGCTGACGCGCCGCGGCCCCTCATAGCCCAGAGCTTTGAACTGCGCTTTGCATAGTAATTAGATGGACGCGGGGTTCGTTTGCGGCTGAGGCCAGAGAAGCTTCGGCAGACATTTCGCCATCAAAGGCGGGGATGTGAGAGAAGTCATGCTCAAGCATACTAAAACACGTGACACGATTCGGGGAGTATTCGGGGGACGGTTCCATCCGTTTGACAGTCGATTCAAGCCCATACGCGCCCAGCTTTTGGCCTCAAGGGCTCAATGCCACCATGATGAGGCACCCAGAAATTCACGTTTCTCTTGTTGTTGCCAATCTGGGGAGGGGGGGGGGGCTCTCAAACCTCAGACAAGACCTTCAAACCTGTGAAATGGTTGGAGGCTGGGTTCAAGGCTTTGAAGCCGGTTCGATTGCTGCAAATCACCGGTTCCAGTTCGCCCGGTTCCGGTCTACTTTGCGGTTCGCATTTCGGTTCCCGCTTCCCGATTCCCGATTCCCGACTCCCGGTTCGGTCCGGCGGCTTCTCTTGGAGTTGCGTTTTCGGAAAGGTTAAGTGCAAATCACCAAGGACCCTGGCAGCGTATGGGCCTCGCAGCACGTGTGCCAGCCCTACATAGCCTTACGCTTCCACAGCTGACAGAGAGGTTGCAGCATTTGCTCATGTTGCGTGTCTCCCCTGTCCCCTTCTCTTTTGAAACTTTCTTCTTATCTGATTCGTTGTTTCCTTCAAAAATCTTTCTCTCTCCCCCTCTTGCTCTCGCTCTCACCGTTCTCACTCTCGCCCCATCGCGCTCTTTAACTCACACACACTCTCACTCTCTCGCTGGATCTCTTCGCCTAAACAAGCTCAAGCCGCCGTTCCTTCTATAAAGCATATAAGTCGTTCTCTCCTGTCAGTTGTTCTGTGTGAGTCTTTCAGCAATGTTTCTCTTTCGCTCCTGGCTGTTTGCAGCCCGTTTCTCTCTTTCTTTCTATTCCAAAGGGCTATGTTGTTCCAATATTTTTTTAGAATGCGCTGCTTTCAAGTTAATTTGCTGCGGACCTTGTTCCTTTCCGCACAAGGCGCCGAAAGGTAAATAAGGTTGCATGGACTCGTTCACAGAAGGCATGGTGCCCATGGAAGGCTTGCAGAAGGTACGGTTTTGCGAACATTAAAAGTATACAGGAATGACATGTAATGACACACTTGTAGTATTACGGATCTGGGGTCGTAGAGAAAACAGGGTGTTGCATCTACACATGTTCTGGAGAAATTGCGGTGAGATGTAGGCATCGAATATTTCCGCGGAAGGCTAGCGGAAGGGGCCAGCAGCTCGGAGTCAAACACGGTCTGTTCATTTGGCTCGCCTCGGCGAGGCTCGTATGTACGGTTCTCCGAAGACCGAATGCGTAGTAACCAAGAAAGCACCAGCGGAGAACTGGTGAACACCATTAAAAGCCAGGTTCTTCATGTTGATATATGTTGACACATGTCAATTGTATACAGTGTTGCTCCTGCCTCATTGAATCTGCATATTCCTATTCATGACAAGCTGCTGCCGCGTCCATCTTCGCCCATTTTGAAGCTGTGATGCAAAAGCCGCGCGGAGGCCAAGCACACATGAGACTCGAATGGCACAAGCGAAGCCGCGGGGAAGGCAACTCGGGTGCTGCACTCAGCCCGAAGTCGTTGAAGCCTGGGCACCGCACGAATGTTGCACAATACTTGCGCAGAAGTTACAGACGAGTCGTATAGCATCATATCGCGTTGCCTTGCCGGCTCTGCATCTTGTGCAGCACAGGTGCCGAGTGCGATGACGTCGGGTTTTCAAGTGCGGCTCCGGCGACTCCATGAAAGACTAAAGAATGAACTTCCGCTTTTTGTTCTTTCAATTTTTTTGCGACTTCAAGAAGCAATCCTAGATGATCCTAGACAATCCTAGAGAGCTGGCCGTCGACTTGAGCTGCATGCAGAGACTCGTGGGGTGCGCAGACACAAGATCGAAAAAGGAGTTTAATCTTGAGCTGCATCTGGACCAGCCTTCATTAGGCCGTCAGGTTCCTGCGGATGGCGGAATAAGTCATTTTTTTGCTGCTTCACGATTGCTGGTAGATTTGGTAGAAACCTGGGGACAGGTTCTCCGAAGCCGCCCCTGCACTGAAGGGGTTCCGAGCTGCTGTGCTGGAGGCGGCCAGGGGCACCGAGGCGTGGCCAACAACTTCGATAAACTGAATGTTTCCACTAAGCCACACTGTAGGTGGTCCTCAAGTTCACAATATGTCGTCCCAGAAGCGAACGGCGGCAAGCTATTTCTTGCACCATGCCGAATCATGTCGTGTAGCATACGTGTGCACGTCATGACACTTTAAGAAGGTCGAACGTTGCAACATCTGCTTTCTCAAGCCGACAACTTTTTGCCCAGCCGTTTTGGGCGCTCTAAATCTGCCTCTAGAAAAACTGTGTTTTTTGTCTTGCACTGGGGCGGCCGACGCTTCGCAGCTGGAACCTGGTCGGCGCAGGGGGTCGGGGGCACGGGGACGGCAGGGGGTAGGGAGGTTGGAATGGTGAGGCAGGGCGTAGGGTGGGGACCCCTGCCCGATGAAGGGGGTAGGGGTAGGGCGTAGGCCGGCCGCCTCATCATCCGAGACTCCGAGACGGACGGAGCCCGATCAGGGACGGTAGCCAGTTGGCAACACATTCGGGCAGCAGCGTCCTCGAGCCGCGAGCCACACGTCCTCTTGAGCGAGGCACCCTCGCCCGGCGTGTGCTGTGAGGGGAAGGCCCCGCTGCCGCCTATCTGCGGACCGGGCTGCTGCTACGCCGCTACGCCCCGAAATCATCCGAAATCCGAAAGGCTCACGCGGGCTCATTCACGAAGGGGTCATTGACATCGCCCTTGCGTAGCGCCCACTCGCCAGCAGGGTCGTCGGCTCGAACTTCGCCCGCGAACCATGTGGCAGCATTCCCTAGGCGTAAAGGCTCTCAATACGTCTCACCCTCAAGCGGAGCACGAACCCCATCCATTTGGGGCAGAAAAGTGTGCCATCCCACCCAGCGCTCAGAGACCTCAGCTCCTCCCCCAAGATGCTGGCACAGTAGGCCCGAGATATTTTCAGGGCGGCTGGGGAGGGAGCAGGCCCCCAGATGTCCTTGGGGTCCTGGACTGACTTGTGGGGCCGGAGCGTTGCGGGCGTCGGCTGCCTGGCGGGCGGTTTGCGGCGCACGCTGCACTGTGTGCCGTTGTCGCCCATTGTGTCTTGTGATGGATACTCAAAACGGGGTCCGGCATTGATTACATAGCACAGACTGATGTGTTTGCAGATGCATCGGCTCCTGACAGGTCGTGGTTGCAGATGCATACGAGGTGGAACCGTGGTTGCAACAACAGGTACTTGTGCATATGTTTGCCTTCCTCCATGGTGGGGTTGTCTTTCCGGCGCTACGTGTGAACCATGTATAGAAGGCAAACAAAGTTGCGAAGGCCTTAAAGAATCCCTTTCTTTGTACATTGCATGCATGCTCCTGCGCAAAAACTTCCACATCGAGAGGAGAGGAGATGGAAGCTACGTGCTGGTAAATCACCGCTCGTAAGGCGCTTGTGTAGAGGCGCGCTATTGATGAGCAGCAGGAACAGAGCAGGCTTTTCTTGCGTTAGCAAGCATGTCCATTACTATTGTGTTTGTGCTGGTTTCTGCCGAGGACAATACTGGCATCATGAAGAAGTGGCCGAACTCCAAACAGGGATTTCGGGGAGCGCTTCGGGTCATTGGGTTTGAGCAGTTTTCCGGCTCGTTGCGACGGCAAGGTCGATCCAGAACGACAACTGGAACTTAGACATCTGGACGCCCGACAAGAAGAGGTACTCATCACAGTGGGCTATGCAGTCATGCAGTCATGCAGCTGCGGATTCGGCATGCCCTGCCCCCGCAATAGGTTCCAGTACACCTCGGCAGCTGGAAAAGAACCTGCTGTTTCTGTTTCAGCAGACTGGGCAGCCCAGATCCTAGTAGGCTTCACATGGCTGCACGCTATAATTCGCCATGTCGAATATGCATGCCGAGTGTGTTGAAGTTCGAATGAGGCCTGGCTGAGCACCAGCGCCCAAGGTGGTGGTTATCCAGCTTAAAGCGCAGCACTCTCAGCGTGAGTCCCCGAATTTGACAATCGAAGACCGAAAGGACGGGAACTTAGGATGCGGATGAGGGTTCTTGCACACTGCGGACTGTGCACTGCAATTATGGTTTCTTGTGTTGACACATTGTGGATTACCGTGCCATCCAAGGATCCTCTGTCTTGCTTGGTCTTTGTATTACAAGTATTGGGCGCTGATTTCTGATGATAGATAGTGCACGCAAACCTTCTCAAGGTCTGCTCAAGCGCAGCGCAGCACTGTTCAGAATTTCGTCGCTAATTCTGCACATCCAAATAATGTAGAAGGTTTGTCAACAGCCCACTTGGCACCGTCCCAAAACGCGACTATAGGCGACTCGAAGGCAACCGCTCTAGCCTTTCGGACATGCCTTACAATCCCAAACCGCAACAACCCAACAACGCCCAAAGAAGACCTCACTGAAAATCACTTTATTGACCTTTGACGTCATGCAGAAACAGCCTTGCATGTGAAACATGCCGTGACATCTGAATCTCAGTACTCAGTGACCTGCAGAGCACTGCAGAGCTGAGGCCGCGCACGCGTATCCGCCGTGATGCACATCGCATCCAAGTTCCGGGGCCGAGCCAGGACAGATCAGGACAGGCAAAGTCGGGCAATGTGCTCGCGTTGCCGCACGTTGCCGCTGTGTGACAATGTCGGCGCAGGAAGTAGCTTCAGAAAGCAGCTTCTGTCTTCTCTTGTCTTCTCTTTACCTTAGAGGCCCTCAGAGGAGGCCCTCCCAAGAGCCAAAGGCATCGGAAGGTTGGTTGCACGGCGAAGCCCTCGTCGACTCGTCGCATCGATTCCAAAAAGAGCGCACAGGGCTGAGCGATTGCACAAGTGCACTGCTGAGTGCCACTGTAGTTCCACGATGCTCTGCGGCTTGGCAGAAATGCGGCCACAAATTCGCGCTGTGGCTCACAGTCTTACTTTGGCTTGCTTTCATACCAGGTTCTTTTTCACAAGCAGCGACTAGTGATTGTTCTCCAGCATGTGATCTGCTTTGATGTATCACACCATTCAGAAACCCGCCTGCGCTCAACTAGTCAGAAAAGCCCGACCTGACCCGATACCAGCCAACCGGGAAGCAGTGAAGCAAGCTTGTCTTCCGTTTTCGAAGACGGCCGGTGCCTCAGCCTGGGTTTCCATGTGTTTCAATGCAAGGTCGATTCTTGAGCTGTTCCGCCTCTGACATGTCGTGCTATTCGTCCTGCATCTCAAAAGCCCAGGCCACGAGAACCTAATTTTGTCGGACACAGTTTTTGCACCTAGCTGAGAAAGGGCAGATGTTTGGGTCCAGGTGTACCTGGTTGTGTGCCCTGGACCAGGGCGAGAGTGCAACAACCATGAGAAATATTGCAAGATGACGAGGCAGTCTTTGCGATCTTGTGATTTTGATCATGGCCTTGACCGGTGTCGTGAAGAAGTATGACACCGCAAAGGCCGGCCCTACCCTCATCCGAAGTGTAACGACATCGTTCAACACTGCTCACTAAACACAGACCGCGCTGCTGCGGCATGAGTGTCGGTTATGCACCCACCCCATTCACCAGTTTCGCACTATTGCTGCGCTGTCAGGGCTTCGGCTTCATTGTTCCCACTGGCACGAGCACGGACCGGGTTACTGGTACCTGGGAGTTGCCGTTGCTGTGAGCATCCATGAGCGTTCTGCATGTCTCGTGTTCCTGAATCTCTTCGACACGTGTTGAGTATTTCTTTAGGCTCGGACGTGCCAGACATCCTTGCATGCCAGGACCTGTTTGTGCTTCGCACAGATGTTATTGGTGGAACTCTGCAAGCTGGAGACAAGGCAGGCAAATCTCATGCGTGAGTGACTATGGAGTCTTTTTCTTAAGCAGCGGTTTTGTGCAAGGTGCTTTGTGTTTCACTCGAAACCACTGCTCCCAGTTGCTGTGCCCACCAAAACAAAATAAAATAACTTCGAGTCTAGTCTGGTGCAGTTGACCTGCGTCGTGTCACGCCACCCTCTAGCTGCTGCAGGTCAACTTCGATGAGGGCTTGAACGATCGAACCGGCAAACCAAAGGCCATCCGCGTTACCGGAGGAACTGGACCTGCACCAGGTGCCATGTGTGTGCCTTTCTGTTTGTGTGTGTGTGTGTCATTTTGTACTTCGAGAATGCCCCCCCCCCCCCCCGCCCCTGCCACATAGTGTAGTGACACAAGGGTTGACACCTTCTTCCCCTATAAGCAAAGCGGGGCCAGGCTTCGGTATCAAATTGTCCGGGTGGGTTGTGGGGGTACCAAAAGTATAACGATATACATATATATATACATACCTTATATGTACTTCCTGCCCTTCCTGCCCAAAGTAGCCGGTCCTCCTTTAGTCCCTAAGGGTTTTTCCCGGGTGGCAGGTGGCAAAGGAGATTCAGGTGACGGAGAGAAAGGCATTCGGAGATTCTTTGGTGAAGCGATGTAAAGCTACCGGATCTCGACTATCTTGCCACTGTTTATGCTTCAGGCCCCAAAGGAGGCGGCAAAGGCAAGCGAGGTGACAAGGGCAAGGGAGGCCAGTCCACTGATTAATGCTGGCGCTGCCGGGCCATGAATGCTCGGCTTCTCTTGAAAGGATCAAAACAGCAGCTGCCAGGACATCTTCGCCGCATGACTTCCATCACTAGATTCGTTTGGCTACAAAACTCCTGTTGCCCATTCTGCATCTGACAGCAGGAGCTTTGAATGGAGGCTTGATTGCAGGGCCCGTTCCCGGAGGGTGCGGATGTTGCGGCTGCCCGGCTCCTTGCGGCTTGATGCTGGGCGGCCGCTCTTCTCGGCATTAAGTTTGAATGGAAAAGAAAGGAAGCACATGGAAAAAGTGGATATTGAATAGTATTGATGCTTATGCATATCTTGGAAACCTGCCCATTAATTTGTCCCTAGTATGATGATCATGGTCTTAGTCTGTCTTGCAAGGTGGAGGCTGCAGCCTTGGCGGCGCAGGCTGCTAGTGAGTGCTGCTGAGTGCTACTGAATTATGAATTCCAGTTTCGAAAAAGCAAAGTTCAGCATCGTGTGTTGTAGAGGAAAAGCCCCGATGCCTGGTGGTTGCGCCGGCTTGCCGGACGGTGTAAAGTCCGGCATCGTGAAGTTTCCCATCTCAGATCGCATGTCCAACAGTCGAGCACAGTAGTCCGCTTGCAGATGCACAGACTTTTCTCGTGCTTTTCTCATGCTTCGAGGTTCTTCCACGATGAAAAGGGCTTTGGATTTATTAAGCAGGATGATGGTGGCAATGACCTCTTCGTCCATCGCAGCTCATCTTTACGCGTCGAGTGCTGCACACGTACAGAATTGTTTTGCTAACTGATGTCGCCCGAGGCAATGATGTGATCGACACCCTGCTGAATGAGGGTGATCAAGTGCAGTACAGCGAGGCGGTTGACAACAGAAGTGGACGAATGAAGGCTCACCAGGTCACTGGTGGCACAGGTGCCCCCAAGCCACCGCAGGAGAAGGGAAAAGGAGGCAAGGGAAAGAAAGGGAGCAAGCGCAATGTGCCAAGCGATCCCGGCCTTCCCAATCCCATGCCAACGATGCCTGACGTCCCTTCCCAAGATACCTCTTCTCTGTCTCAGAAAATGCCGGGGAACCTGAATGCACTCTCAGACCCTGCAATGTTCGGATGCGCGAATCCCGGCATCCTTATGGGCAAGGGTGGATTTCCGGGAGTTTCCGGCGCGTGCGGCTGCAACCCTTGCAGTGGCTGTGACGCTCAGAAGATGGGCTGTGCCTGTGGAGGTTGCGGTTGCGGAGGGCTTTGTGGAGGCTGTGGGTGTGGAGGTTGCGGAGGTTGCGGAGGTGGCTGTGGCGGCTGCCCAGGGTGCGGCAGTGCCTGCGGAGGTTGCGGAGGCTGCGGGCAATGCATGGCAGGCTGCGGAAGCCTCCAGATGAGTGGGAACAGCTGCAATGCCGGTGGCTGTGGATGTGGCGGCTGCACCAGTGGCAACGCATGCAACGCCACCTGCAACGCAGGAGGTGCACCGTGGTGGCAAGATGAGATCCTTGCTTTCGTGATTTGACTTGTTGCCGGACCAGTGCATGGAGTGCTAAGACAGAAGTCTGTCGAGATGATCACAGTGCCAGTGTTTGCCGGTCTTGAGCTACCCCACTACTCCACCACTACCCCACCACTACTCCACCACTACCCCACCACTGCTCGACCAGTACTCCCAAGGCCGGCAGCTGCAACATGCCGAGCAGCTGCTGCGGTTGTGGAGGTTGTGGAGGTGGTTGTTCCGGGTGTTGTGGTGGCTGCGGCTGCAACGCTGGCTGCTGCGGTTGCGGAGGCTGAAGTGCAGCGCGATTTACCACGCGGTTAGCTACGCGAATACCTGTGCAGACGCAAGTGCTATCACATGCGGTGGATGTGCCCTAGAAAAGCAATACTTGCCTTATCCGCGCATGTCCAGCCAACAGTTGCTCTTCGCAGGTTGCTGCCCAAACTTCAACGCATGCGGCTGCTCCGGTGGGGCCACTGCGGGCCTCGGTGCATGCCTTGCGCCGAACAACTTCGAGGAATCTGCATCCGCAAAAACCAGCAATGCAGAAAATTCATGAAAATTCGGAAGTCGCAGCTGTGCTCCGGTTTCCACTGTAGAAACTCCGCATCCCTCCACATATCTCCGCATGCAGGAAGACTTCGATGCCTCAAGTGTTTTGGTGGCATTTTTGCAGCTCTAACACGGTCTTCTGCCCCCGATGTTAGGAAGATCAATACGCTTGATTGTGTTGGCTCGCGGCACTGCAATGCTGTAATGAAGCCACCCGCTGTATGTTTATGCGGAGTTGCTCAGCTGGCTCTGCGCACCCAGTTTTATCATGTTTATCTGTTTATCCCTTTTGCACTTATAGTTATGATAGCGTATGGCTGGCCACATGCACCGGTTCGTTGCGGAGGCATGACAATGTGCCGTGGGGCGGCCTTTAGTGGCCTAAGCGCTGCCAGCCCCACGACACCCTGTGTCTTGGCCGAAACAGTCCCAAGCATGCTCCATGCTTTGTGACTCCAATGCCTCCCGGTATCTCTGCGTCTTTTCATAATTTGGGCCGTGTTTGCTGTCACGCGATGTCTCATGTACCTTCTTCTTTGCAGAAGTGGTCCGACCATGAAGCAGATCGAAGGCAGTGCAGGTGGCTGCAGCACTGGGCCATGCGGTGGCGTTGGTCCATGTGGCCCGAACTGGGAGGCTCGAGCTTTGGAAGAAGAATCCGCAAAGCAAACGTATGCAAGATTATGCAAGCAGTCTTGAGTTGCAGGGCAACCTGCAAGGGAAGGCGGCCATGGCAGCTTTCCCAGGTCAGAGCCTAACATTGCAAACCATTGCACTGGCCCTTCTGGGTCAACACAAGTCCGAGCCTTTTGACCCAGGTCAGGATCCCCAACGCAACAGCGCTTGCTTTGCTCAGCTGATGAACGTCGCAAATCTCAGCGGAGTTGCGCCCAGTGGAGTTGCGAACCCCAATCCAAGCTCTGGTGACAGGCCGCGTCGGTGAGTCGCGGAGTGTGTCCACGTGTTGTGGCAATACAATGAGAATGAAATATACGAAAACACGTCCGCAGGTTTCCAGCCGGTGGCGCAGGCCCGGGCTGCTTTCCTACCACTTGAAAAATGAAGTCGTGCACAACTTATAGTAACTTGTATAGTACTCGTAGCGACGCTCCACTTGGCGCGATGTTTCGCAAATGTCTTTGGCCCGAAGGCTCGATGGCCGGATCTTTCATGCAGGGTGGAGGCGACAACAACATGCCAGGCACGTGACTTGCATGGCTGCCTGCATTTGCACCATTTTGCACAACACTTTCCCATCAGCCGGGAAAGAGCGTGCATTTTGTCTTCCACATCACAGCACTGCCCTCACTGCAGCTGCGTTTGACTGAGGTCCCTGTTTCAGCAACAATGCAGGATCCGGCGGAACCCTGAATGCTGCAATGTATGAAAGGCTTGCTGCTTACCTCTCATCTCAAGTTGAGTGAGACTAACGATGTAAAGACTGGTTTCCTCATGCTTGGGTGAGGCTAGCCTCGGCCACGGGCGGTGGTGGAGGCAATGCATGCAGCAGTCAAAGAGCTTCCTCCCAGAAGGTTGATTGACCTGTAGGAAGCTTTGAAGACTACGCCGTCTATGGTGGCCAAGGTGCGTTGTGCGTTTTGCTGCAGTTCGAACATGACTGCATGGCACATGCAACGCATGGCTTGGCAATTCAGGATCAAACAACCTCGCAGCTCGAGCCGCTGGCTGCTTTTCAAACTTGGCAGGCACATGTATTGATGTGGCAACCCCACCTGCGTGATCCCATATTATGTGCTAATGGAATGCCTTGCTGCGAGGACAGACATACTCCTGATATCTCCTCTGTCGGTACTTTTTATCTGGCAAGAGAGTCTCGTTGGCCACTCGCACAGGTCCATGCTCAAACCACGGGTGAGCTGGGCGAACCCTTATTTGTGCGTGATGCCATCAAGGGCATTTGACGCACCTGAACATCTGTGAAGCGCAATTGTTTATGACAGAACCGTGCACCTTCTTCTGAGACAGAAGACCGGGCTTGGTTGAGGCACGCGTTGGGCCCGTTGGGTGGCCCAGACTCATAGGTTGATTGATGGCTGTCACTGGCTATCGCGGGACTTGCATCCTGTCAGCACAGCGCAAGCAAGCGCAAACTACCTAGAATAACCTGAGTACTGCCTCTAGCCGTGCTTTACGTTACCCTCGCCTGGCCAGTGCGGAGACCTTATTCCAGCACATGTCTCAGCTCACTATAACATACGTAACTAAACGAATCCTCAGAGACATCAAGCTTTGCAGGAGCTGGTGCTGCTACAGTGCAAGTCCTGCCTCTGTGCGGCGGGCTTTTTGAGTAGGATTTCCGAATCGGTTTCCTTGTTGTTAAATTGTATCACGCGGCTTCCGACTTTGAGCAGCGCCATTCCACCCGTGAGAGAGAGAGAGAGCTTTTCAAACTAGTTCAACATCCTCCCTGTTTTTGCATGTGTTCGCACATGTTTGAGCAGGTGAAATCAAATACTTGGGGCATCGAGGGTGGCACCGGGTGGCAATGCTGGGGAGGTCTCTGCGGGACTCCGGATGTCGAGGCAATGATGTTCATTTTCTACATTTCGGGATATGGGTGACAGGCTTAGAAACCGTACCGGGCAAGACACGTGAGTCAGTCTTAGATGCGAATCTTCCGGAAAGGCTGCCAGAAGGATCTAAAGGTGACCCAGCCAAGAGGCTCGGAAGTGACTGATAATGCCACAACCACTGGAACGCTCCCATCACAGAGTTTTGATTTGGCACATCTTGTGCTCCTCATGGCCGCAGTTCGAGGCTTGAGCTGAAATTGGTTTGTAAGATATCGCAGCCGACTATAGTGACTACAGCATCCTTCAAAGCTGGCCATGTGAAGCTATGCGGAGCTATGCGGAGCTTGAAGTATTCTGGTCCTGCGCGAGGCGGGAAATTCCGATGAATTTGCTGCGATCCATTTGGAAAAAAGGCGACATTCCCGATGCCTAGCGGTTATTGAATTGAGACCGAGCCAGCACACCGGGAACAGGGCAGGGAAATCGCATCCGTAGTTCAACAGTTCATGTGCCACATGGAGACTTTCAGTATACAATTGCGACCTGCCGATCCAAGCAAGCCGCCACTAGCCTGGCAAAAACCTGCCGCATGGACCCGCGACGTCAAACACATTGTTGCATCACAGTGAAGGCAGCTGGCGCAATTTAGACCTGCAGTCAATGACAGTCTGCAAGCGCGCACGCCACACACATTGCCCCAAGCTGCCGCGACTTGCGCCAAACATGCAACTACCATGCCATGCAATGGCCAGTCCAGGGAGGGCGATTTCAGCATCCAAAACGATTCAACGGCCGGCGCCTGTGAGACCCCGTCCGGAGCTCAGAAGCTGCTAGCTCTCCTTTGCGGAGCTTGGTAGATTTCGGCTTCAGCTCTGAGCAGTGCTGAGTGCTGAGGCTTCCACAGCGGAATGAAGCTGGCGTGTGGCAGTGCCGTGGGCTTGGCATTGCTTCGTCAGTTCTCGAAGCGCCGCTTGCCGGGCGCAAGATTTGTTGCCATCCGCGCCTGGCAGCAGCCGCTTTCCGGGAAATTGCCCGAGCCACTTCGCGCCACGGATGGTCGCCAAGTGCCTTTAGGAAGCTTTGAGATTTTCGAGATGTCAATTTATGTAGAGCACGGAAGAAAAGCCCGGCCACGGAAAAGTAGCTGGAAAAGTAGCTTGCTCATTGAGGCCGCAAACCTGATGCTCCACCAGAAGATGTTTTCACTCTTGACACCATCACACAGCGAATGCCCAAGATCTTGCAGTCAGTCCTCGCGAGCCTGCCGCCTGCTGTGAAATCGGCCGAACTTGAAAAGAACATCGAAGCACTGCAGGATGACATGAGACAAGGGGCTCAGCTACGGCTCCTGACAAGTGACAGCCCGCGGGTCGGAGCGAACGCGTGGAATCAGCATCTTGAAGCTTTTATCGAACGTGGAGAGGGATGGCACACAGCACCATGGTGGCTGGTGGAGAATTACATGTACAAGCGCCTGCTGGAGGATTCCGCACGCTCTTTCAGTATCTTTCAGTATCCTGAGCTGCTCCTCCCCCCACCCCTCGCTAGTTGGGTGTGACAACCTGGCATCGCTAAATATATATATATATATATATATACTCTCGCGCACTCTTTCGATCCATAAGATGAGCTTGCAGGCTGCAAATTCTAGGCCTTCTTGTCCTTATCTCTTTGCCATGCAAGGCTCGAGAGCTTTAAGAACACAGCAGCAAAGCCGAGTCATCGAACGACAGTGCACACACCACACCACGCGACACCTGGCCATGAGCCTCAAAAAAACAGGCAACATCAAAGTGGCAAAGCAGACTGGCTCTATAGCAGGCGGCAGACTGTTCCGCAGCATTCCCGCGGCATGGAACCAAGGCTTGCGACTCCGCTTAGAGATCTTAGAGGGAATGAGCTGCATTTAGAGGCGGCGAAGACCTTCAGGCCATCGAGTTTGTGTCCCCATTGGCCTCCAAGGTCTGATCTGAATCTGATTTCTTTTGCTGGTTGGGCAGCATGGCGTTACAGGGCTCGGCAAAAGCAGCGACCTTCCGTGACAAGGTGGAACCCAGCAATGGCTGCATCAATGCCAGTCAAGCAGCCCAAAGCAAGCATAGGTGCACGCATCTTCGGCTTGTTCTCCTGTACGAAGCGTGCTCTTCAGCTGGTTTGGCTGACCAGTCGTCTCTTGACCTTGATTTTGAATGCATCATGCAAGCGAATGAAGGCTCGAGTGGAGTTTGCACTCGCATACTTTAAGACAAATCTGCTGAGCAATTAGTGTTTTGAGTCTTGAGTAATGCTCTTTCACACCGGCTGCAAGCAGCGTGTGGCTCCACATCCTAAATCCATCAGTACACTCTTCCGAAACCCCGACGAGGCCCTCTCGCAGAGTCTCTCAACTTTGATGCCACCAGTAATTTTTCAACACTGCGTGTCGACCGCCTCGGCCTGACCCTAAAGTCTGCGCCTCCCTGACTCGATGGCAGGCAAGGCTGGAAGAGAGTGGGTGGGGAGAACGAGCCGATCGAATCTTTGGAAACATCTCCAAACATACAAGTAGGCTGACATCTAGTCCGACGCATCCGTGCAAACACAGGCTCTGAGGCTCCAACTTTCAAACGCAGGCACGTCTAAGATGTCCAGGCGCAGCGTGCTTGCGAGTCAAATTCTTAGACTCGTTTCTCCCCTTTACATCTTGATTACGGTTACATCTTTATGACTTTACTTGGCTTGTATGTTTTCTTGGAGCTTAGGTCCCTTGACCTTTGGCTTAGCCTTCCTGACCCTGATCATGGGAGCCTTGCCGGGGCTGCGGGCTGCCACAACGAAGCGCGTCATCGACGCCGTGGTGGCAAACATCCCTTCGGGCAGCTCTTCCAGCGTGTTGTTCTGGCTCTCGGTGGAGGCGCTGTTGGTGGTGTCCTTGGCTGCAACTCGGCGAGCTCAGGAAGTGGCGGAGTCTTTTCTGGGCACTCTTTTGGGAAACCGTGTTAATGTCATGATACTGGAGAAAGCACTGGAGCTTCAGCTGACGGATTTTGAAGACTCTGCGCTCTATGACAAGCTTACGCGGGCTCGCAGAGAGGCGAGCCGTCGCCCATTGTCTTTGGCACAGCAGTCTTTGAGTCTTATCCGCAACAGCTTGGCGCTGGTCGGGTACGGCACGTTACTACTGCGATTCTCTCCTGCCGCTGTGGCCGTGCTGCTTGTGACGGCCGTACCTCCATTCATTGCGGGGGTGAAGTTTGCTGGTGATGCTTTTCAGCTGGCACGCCGGCAAACTGCTGGATTCAGAGAGCAGATATACTTGGAGCGAGTCATGGCCATGGATACGCCGGCAAAGGAAGTGAAGCTCTTTGGACTCGGCCCATGGCTCTTGAAACGCTACCGGGAGATTTTCGACGGCTTCTTCCGGGATACTTCTTCCCTCGCTCTTCGCCAGGGCTGCTTTGGCTTTGTGCTTGAGCTGATCAGCACGGCGGGCTTGTACATGGCCTTTGCATGGGTTGCTGTTGCAGCAGTTAGGCAAAGCATCAGCCTTGGAGACATGACCATGTATTTGTTGATCTTCAAGGAGGGCCAACAGGCTTTCTCGGCCATTCTGCGAGCCATAGGAGGCATGTATGCGGACAATTTGTATTTGTCCAACCTCTATGAGTTCTTGGACTACAAGGTCAAAAAAAGTGGAGGTACACAGGAGACCGGCACAAATCCTGGAGATGGTATCCGCTTTGAGGATGTTTGGTTTCGATACCCCGGTTCTACGGAAGATACCATTAAGGGGGTCACGTGTCACATCCCACCTGGAACCCGCTTTGCTCTTGTTGGGAGCAATGGAGCAGGAAAAACCACGCTGATCAAGCTTCTTACAGGCTTGTACCAACCGAGCAAGGGCAGGATCTTGCTTGACGGGCTGGACTTGGCGGAGTGGGCTCCAGATGCATTGAAGAAAAGGATCGGTGCAATCTTTCAAGACTTCATCCGCTATGAACTCACGGTTGGAGCAAACGTCGGTGCCCTTGCTTGGTTGGTACAAGCCTGTGAGAAGCTTGATCAGTGCTGGTCTTTCCTGCTCCGTATTTCCCTCCTGACCTACAACTAAGAGCCCCTAAATCCAAGCCCTGGAAAAGCCCACGTGTGAACCACTGCAAACCTCATAATCATCAAACCCAGGTGTGGGGGACATCGATGCAATCAACGAGGAGCCCCGCATTGCCCGTGCGGCGGACCGTGGGATGGCAGCGCCTTTCATCGAGGAGTGGCCACAACAATATCAGACGCAACTCGGCAATTTATTCATGCGTGGCCGTGAGCTCAGTGGCGGGCAATGGCAGAAAGTGGCCTTGAGCCGAGCACTCATGCGAGAGAAGGCTGATCTACTCATCCTTGATGAGCCGACAGCAGCGATGGACGCCGAAGCAGAAGCTGCGATCTTTGAGCGCCTGGCATCGCTTTCAGCCGATCAGAGTGCCCTGCTCATCAGCCATCGATTTTCGACAGTTAGGATGGCTGACACCATTGCAGTGTTGAATCAGGGCGTGATCGAGGAGTGTGGCAGTCATGAAGACCTCTTGGAGCTGGGAGGCACTTACGCGCGACTCTTCAACTTGCAGGCCAAAGGTTACCAGTAGGATCAACAGGAGTCGCTGCGGCAAGTTGCGAGAAATGCAAAAGAAAGGCGCTTTTTTCTACTGGTTTCTATTGGTTTTCTATTGGTGTTTTATTGGTTTGCTATTGGTTTTTCATTGGTTTTCTAATGGTTTTTATTGGTTGTCTAATGGTGTTTGTTGGTTTTCTGTTGGTTTTTATTGGTTTTCCATTGGTTTGTATTGGTTTTCTATTGGTTTTTGGTGGTTTTCATTGGTTTTGTATTGGTTTTTATTGGTTGTCCATTGGTTTGCTATATTTTTCTATTTTTTCATTGGTTTTTATTGGTTTTCTAATGGTTTTCTATTGGTTGGTTTTCTATTGGCTTTCTATTGGTATTTATGGCCCCGGCAAGTGGCAATCTTGGCGTCTTGGCTCGTTTGCTCTACGACTACCCTCCTGGTTTCGTGTGCTTTTGTTGCTGGTCTACAGTTGTGCGCTTGATCGGATGGGCCAAGTGAGTGAGCCAAGCCTTGAACCAATCTTGGTCGAAACAAGGACTTTGGCTTCATGAGCAGGCAATCGATGTTACCTTTCTCACCTTTCGAAAAGATTTCGAAGGGGATACGATGCGAGGAGTCTGTCATTTCAGCGGCTGCTCGCAGAGAGATACTGTTAGCCACCCGAAGAACAGAGACAACACCCCCACTCTTTCTTTGATTAACTGGATGTATGGGTGTCTCCTACTCAGGGGAGTGTCTCTTACTCGGAATGTGTCCTACTTAGCTGTTAATCGTTAAAAGCGCCACTGTAGCAGATTGTGGAAGCACCTGGCACAGCCTGACACTCTGACAGCTTGGAGGAGCTGGAGCAGTGTGGCCCAGAGGCTGCGGCATTGGACCCGTTCGAGGTGGTAAAGCTGGAGGCAGCTCTGCCATAGCGAACAAGTTGCTAATGTTAATGTTGTGCTGCCTTTTCTTGCCTTTGAATGCTACGCGATTCTACTTCAGACGTTGTTGTAGACCGTGACTGCTGGCACCTGCTCTTGTGATTGTATCCAATAGAAGTGGCCACGGTCACGTTCTTCCGGCCCCCAATCCCCCTTCCTCCCGCACTCTGATCCTTGCCATTGCCCTTGGCCGACGGGTCACCCTTTCCCCTTGCCCGGATTCTAGAAGGTTGGATCTTTGATCCCATTGGCACGTTCCAGCCGAGTATGCACTCAGAAGACTTAGTTGCATGAAGGGGCTAAGCCCACCCGCACGAGCCTCTCGCGTGGCATTCCAGAGTAGGCCACAACGTGCACGTCGTGTGTGTGTGTGTGTGTACGCACGGTATGGGGGAATTTCTTTGGAGGCATCACGTGAATTAAGACATCTTGATGCAAAACCTTTTCGGACCGTGTACCCTGTACAGTGCCCCCAATACCAGCTGCCTGGCCCCGTTGCAGCTTGCGCGCGGCCAGCTTTCATGCCTGGTTCTCTGAGCTACTTGAGAGCACTCACACTTGATTGTGCCGGGGGTGTTGGTTGCGGTGTGAATAATATTATAATTACGTGCATATATTAATACAAGTGCACGAAGTAAGCACGTGATGAGTATTATTTGCGTGTACTTATTATATTAGGTGGTAAAGGGCCCCTAGTTTTAATGATAAAACCGTGCACGAGTTTACATTTTAATTGTAAACGCTTGCGCGCGCCGCCTCGGCAGCCGGGCCGGCCCCAGGACAGGAAAGGAGGAAAGAGGGTTTCGCAAAAAAAGGGAGGAAGGGCAGAGCGGGTGGGGGGGGGGGGTCGGGGGGGGGGGGTGGGGGGGTGGGGGGGGGGGGTGGGGGGGGGGTGGGGGGGGGGGGTGTGGGGGGGGTGGGGGGGGGTGGGGGGGGAAGGGAGGTTTTTGAGGCACTCCCCTGTAGGAGCCACCGACAAGCGGGACCCTCCACGGCATCGGTTTGCAGCTCCTCCAAGGGATTGGGGGGGGTCCCACAGGGTGGGGGGGGGGGGGGGGGGGTGGCGTGAAGGGTTGGGTTAGGGGGAGGCCCGATCCGGGTCTGCTTGTTCCAGACGCTTCTCGGCAGGAAGCCGAGGCGAATATTAAAATTGGCCCTTTAGAATTTCTCCCGGGTTGCAAGTGACCGCCAAGGAGAAGCGTGAAGATTATCATATAACCGCCAGGGAAAGGAGAACGGCCAAGATGTACTAGCTAAGAAGGAGATACAAGAGTTATAGTTCCAGCACTCATGAATGAACTCTACAGGCAAGGTACTAAACGGCTTGTATCACCTCCAAGTGAAGGAAACAAGACCGCGAGGAAAGGCCCCTAAAATATGAAAAGTAAAGGCCCTATTTATTTTAAGGGGCTGCGCCCATGGGCGGGCAGCGCAGGCAGAAGCGCGGGGCGAGCAGTTTCTAACCATTTTGAGGCCCCTAAACTCCCTTAAAATCTCTAAGCGTTAAGTTTCTAAGCATTTTCAGGCCCCTAAACTCCCTTCAAATCTCTAAGCGTTTGAGGCTCCTAGACTCCCTTAACGTTTCTAAGCACTTTATAAGGCCCCTAAACTCCCTTTTTCCTAGCCCCGACCTTAGACACATCGCTTATGCCCGCCCTTTGGGGGGCGTCATGCTCCTGATGCGCCCCCGGGGTCCCGCCCCGGGAGCCGCTGATGCTCCTGATGCGCGCCTGGGGGTCCCGGGCTGGACCCGCTGATGCTCATGATGCGCGCCCTCTGGGGGCCTCCGTGGCGACGCAAAAAACCACGAAAAAAAAACCGTTCACCGGCGGCACGCGGGGGTCGGCGGCACTGGCGTCCGGCCTAATTCTGCTTCGCAGAAGGCCAGAGGCCAGCAAGGCTATTCCCGGGACGACCCGGGCTAAAAGGTCCGCATTTGCTCGGTCCTTTGGGGACCTCGCGCTGCCCGATTTAATGGCTACCGCCAGTGCCGCCGACCCCAGACCCAAGACAGTCGCATTGGGGCGGAAGGCAGGGTGGAGCGCGGGCAGGCGGGGGGGGCGGGGGCGGGGGGGGTGGGGGTGGGTGGGGGTGGAAAGGGGGGCGGCGGGGGTGGGGGGTGTGGGGGGTGACGGTAGAGGGTTGGTGTCGGATTAGGGAGTTGGGGGCGGAAGGCAGGGGTGGACTGGGGGGCATAGAGATGAAGAAGCGATGAGAGCGGTGAGAGCGGGGGGCGGTCGGATGGTGCACGATGGTGGGAGGGGGTAATGATGAGGGCTGGGGAGGGTTGGTGGGAGGGTTAGGGAGTGGGAGTGGGAGAGGGTGGGGGCGGCTGGCGGAAAGGGGGGCCTGACTCATTTGACCAGCTCTGGTGAGAGGGTTGGGGCGGAAGGCAGGGTGGAGCGCGGCGGGTGGACAGGGGAGGTGACGGTTGAGGGTTGGTGGAGTTGGGGGCGGAAGGCAGGGGAGTGATGAGAGCGGGGAGGCGGTTAGGGCGGGCTTGGATTGGAATCCCTCAAACTAGAGATTTGTCAGGGCGGAGTAGGGGGTAGGGGCCTAGGAGGGAAGGGATGGGGGGGGTGGGGGGGGGTGGGGTTTCAGAGTCGAGGGTGGGGGGTTGAGGGCAAAGGGTTGGTGTCAGGGAGGGGTGGACTGGGGGGCATAGGGAGGGGGAGTGATGAGAGCGGTGAGAGCGGTGAGGGCGGTCAGGGCGGGCATGGACTGGAATGCTTAAAACACTAGAGATTGGTCAGGGGGTGGTCGGGCATGCACTGGACCCTTTAAACCACCTGAATGGATGGGGTGGGGGGGGGTCAAAGGTCCAATTCAAGGCGTCATGGGTGAGGGCGATGGGTGGTGGGGTTTGGGCATGCACTGAAGCCAAACAATGCAAAAACACTCCAATTCAAGGTGTCATGAGCAGCATGCTGTGAGAGCGGGTGAGGGCGGTGAGGGCGGTGGGGGGTCTTCACTGACGCCGCCCTGCTACCGCTGGGGTCGGCGGATAATGCAAGAATATTATAAGGGCCCTTAAAGTAGTATAAAATATTGAGCCCTTCCATAGTACTATGAATAGGGGCCGCTATGAAAGTACTAATTATGCGGCCAAATGCACTCTACTATATACGCAAATTAAATTAGAAGTGTGTTCGCTTCACTGCATTCATGTACTTCGTCCCTTGTAAATTCAAGCATTGCTCTCACCGAATAATATTAAAGGGACGAAGTGAATGAATAAAGAGAAGTGAATACGCGCCCTTATTTTCTTCTTCTTTGGCGCTCATTATTATTATTATTATTAAAAGTAGTGAAGTGAGAACATTCGGGCGCTCTACAAAAACCCTCTTTTGCGCCCCTAATACAAAATTGGGCAAATTATATAGTGTGAATGGGGGCGTGAATGAAATGAACGCGTTCATACATTCATTCCATTCACCTAAATAATTTCATAGTAAACCTTGGAGAGAATCCTAAAGGTAACAAAGAATCCTGGTAATCGAGGGAGATGTCGTAAGTTGTCATTATGAGATTGGTTTTAGAAGGAGTGAAAGGACGCATGAAAACCAAGCGAAGAAAGTACAGCGAAGACATTGAACGTGCTCACCTCGTTCACACTCTTTTTTATGTAAAAAATCACTGTTCCCGTGTTGTGCTTATATTGACGCGGGATATGTAGATAATAATACGAAGAGAATCAACTTCATTTCATTCCTTGCCTTTTAATAGAATTTTATATGGTCTTTTAGTATATTCATTTGCCCCGCGTGTTCACAATGTTCTTACTACGCGGGGTTACGTTCATATTACATATTCTTAACGCGCTAGGTTACTTGAGAACACTCACACTTGAAAACAGCGCAATGCCGGATGCACGGGGAACATCAGCACCTTTAGTGGGCCGTCGGAATGAAGTTGACCCAGGGTTGGGGGTCACGCTTGTTGCATCATGGAGGCATTGGAGCAGTCGACTGAGCCATTGCGGTCTTCTTTGCAGCCGCTGGTGAACATGGTGATGGAGGCTGATGTTGAGTGTTTAGTTGTGGCTAGCTGTGAGCAACGTGTGTCTGGACCTTTTTCATGATGCGTGTGATGCGTGTGATGCGTGTGATGCCTATGTGATCGAAACCCGAAGCTTGCACATCGGAGGCGTCGGGTGCTTCGGTTGCCTCGAAGCGCGAGGCATTGGAGGCCAGTCTTTTGAGGTCTTTGTGGGGCAACCAGGCGGACCTCTCCCTGAGCGCCGGCGAGGTCACGTCGGTCAGCGGAGGCCAATTAGAGAATCTGGTGTCCGATCATCGCTCCGAAGCCATGGACCTGCTTTTCAATTCTGAGAAAGTGGTGGTTGTAATGGACAATGACGGTTTGGAAGTGCTCTGTGACCTGGTGCTCGTTGATGCGATCCTTTCTTTGACCGACGCTTCGGTGTCGCTGCATGTAAAGGATGCACCCGTTTTCGTGTCGGACGTGACCGAGAAAGACATTCCCAAAGTGCTTAGTTGGCTTGAACCTCGAATGCCAGAGTTGGCTCAGCGCTTGAATGAGCACTTGGAATCCGGACGGTTGAAAGTCCAAGCGTATAGCTACTATACCACTGCCAGGTGTTTCTGGGAGATACCTTCCGAGCTGCAGTCGGATTTTTTGCACGCAGCCGTCCTTCTCAAAGGAGATGCCAACTTCCGACGACTGTTAGGTGATCTTCACTGGCCGTACGACACTGACTTCGAGGAGTATGCCAGGAGCTTTTGGCAAGGAGCGGGTCTGATTTGCCTCCGGACGATGAAAAGTGGTGTTGCCATCGGCATTTCAAAGAGCGAGCAGCGACGGGCACAGCAAGCACGAGAAAATGATTGGTTGACGTCCGGGGCTTTCGGGCAGGTGCTGGCATTCCGCAGATGAGCAGCACCTTTGGCAGAGATCCGCAGAGCCAATTGCAGCAATGTAAATGAGCAGAGGTTCCAGCTCAACTTAGCCCAATTCCTGTTTGAAGCTTTGTCCTCTGCCAGGATCCTCTGCTGCCAGATAGTTTTTGTTATAAATTTTCATGTCGAAGACTTCGTGCTTCGCAGCTCTCGCAGAAACAGATCTCGCGGACCATGCGCGCAATGCCTTCACATCTCGACCAAAATATAATTGTAACACCGCGTGTCGGCTGCCTCGGCCTGGCAGAGGGGTTTAGGGCTCATAGGGTCCCACCTCCCTCCCCACAGTAGGCTTTCGGTTTCGCCGTAGCATGGGGCCAGGCGTGTTTCGCCATAACGTGGCGTCAGCTGGGGTCTCGGGCGGTAGGGAATATACAGTGTTTCGCATACATGTGGCGCAGGTATGGTTTTGCCATAGTTTGGCGAAAGGGTTGTGTAGCATTAGTGGGTTCGGCCGAAGTGTGGCGTAAACCGTTAGGGTAGAATTTCGTGGTAGCACGTTGTTAGGTGTGGCAGTCGCAAAAAGGCTCCCTCAAACACCACCCAAGGTAACCCCACGTGTGACTATGAACCCATAGGGGCCGTAAGGAAATGCCAAAAAGGTCCGTTAGATGTAGATCAGCCGCAATGTAGGGGTCCTTAAGGCGCTCCAGCACCATGGTTTCTGGCATGTTTGTTGCAAGGAAATTCGTTAGCCGGTGCTTGTGGGTTCCTTATACCTGCAAGGGGTCCCCAGACGCTCCCCAGGCATATCAAGACATGCTTAGGAGTCCTTAGGAGGCTGTACGGGTCCTTAACGTTCCATAAAGGTTTCGGAGTTCGGTTAGAGGCCCATAAGCCATTGTAAGCCCAACTCGACGTCCGGGAGAAGCCACAAGGGGTCCCTACGGAACCTCTGACGCCCCCGGCCCGGCCCGACGACTGTTGCATAATTCACCGAGTCACTGTGTAGCGGCAGTGCCGTTGCTTGATCTGATTCTGTCTGCAGCAACTGGCCCTGGCTCTTGGGGGAGAAGCTTGGGCACTACCTGTTGCTTGAAGCAAAGCCTCGAAGGACCAGCAAAGAGCAGATTCTCATTTGCGAAGGTTGGCTGTGCACATGAAATATACGAGATATGACGAGATCGCAACTCTGGGATCCTCAGTCGCTAGTGACGCTAGTGAATCTGATCATTTTTCAGGCTCTCATAAGAGAGTGAACTCGTGCGTCAGAGGCGGGAGAAAATGCTAAATGCAAATCGTGTCGCCATGGCCGTAGCCATGACCGGCCACGACACCCTGGACAAAACTGCGGGCCTTAGTCAAACATCCTCCGATCAGGGTCCTGAACGGTGCTGGCTCTTGCAGCTTCTGCCGAAATGCTGCTCAACTGCGAACCAAAACTGACGTCGAACGAGCTGCGGCACCTAGGCGCAAGGAGCTCCCGCAAAGCCGGTCACAACATGCAACAGCATAATAGAGTCATCATAGGTAGCGGTAGGCCGTGTTCAGCACAACAGAGATAAAGCATACTTTGCAGGTTTGTTCAGTACTCTTTGGTTGGTTGCTGTCACTGCTGTCTATTCTTATTTAAAAGTTTTTTGCACTGTCGCCAAGAATCAGCCGAAGGCGACATCCCCCCCCCCCCCCCCCCCGTCCCCCCTTCCACGCTTCCACTCCGACCCAATCGTTACTTATTTGCAGCCGCCAATGCTCAGAGAGCTGTATGACATTTGGTTCCGACCGAATTTACTTTCAGAGCCTGAGATTCTCGATCCTCCCAGCAGCTCTTTGGGCAAAGTTGACTCATAGAGGGCCTTTTCTGTCCTTTTTCGTCCTCCAAGACTTCTCCAGTTGCTGGGTCGTGTCGCCTTTCCATCCTTACCTCCCCCTTTGTAACCCCGGCGGTCTTTGAAAGACGATCTCGCAGCTCTGCAGGTCACAGCGGCTCCGTTCCCGATTTGCAAGGTCCGGCCTTCCATAGGTTAGACCGTTATTTGACAAGTCCCAGAAGGCCTTCATGACACCCAGAAATCACGAATCACCTTGCCTGATGAAAACATATTGCGCCTCAAACGTTCCTTCTGCAAGCTGCTCGCCAAGAAAAGCTCCTCGCAGGGTTTCATGCAGAAGTCGCCGGATGCCAGGAATGCCCGACCCATCTTGCGCATCCAGATCAACCTGTTCCAATGCCACCTATTTAGTGACCAGGGGTCCATACACAGTACGAAACAAAAGACCCGAACAATCTTCGCCAGAGCATAGAATCGATTCCCATAGCGATCTCCTCACGGTCGAAGTCCTCCGTCCACATCGGACAGCTACCAGTACCTCAACGAGGAGAAGGTACGACATGGAAGCCCGCCAAGGATCAGCTTCAGTTTTCCGGACAAGGCCACATCCAATGCCGCATAGGTGTCATCAGCCATGACAGCTTCCCATTGGGTCACTAAGATGACCGCCTCTTCCTTCTTGTCTCTTTTTGCAGTAGGCACTAGCCACTAGCTTATGCTGGCTTTCCCACAGAGGAGATGCCACCATTTGCGCTTCCTTCAAACCACGGCGGTTTCATGAATTCCACGGCAACTTCTTTCCATCTGGCTTCGCAGCGCACACATTCAGCCTTCGCAATCAGCTGAACTTCCAAGCCTCTCTCCGCCTCCAGACACCCGTTCACCACCACTGGTATTTCAACTCGACGAGGAGGGGTGATTCTGGGATCAGGTAACTCGGCATCCGATTTCCATGAGGCCATCGCCACGATTTGAGCCGTAGCTCTGACGGTGAGCAAGGTTCTACTCGGAGTCTGGTGCAAAAAGGCTTCGCCATCATCCAGAATCGAGTGCGAAGCCAAGTCTCATCCTCTGCGCCTCGATGCAGTGTCTTGCGAGTCCACCAGCGCCCGTTCCCTGGAGCATCGTCCAGCCGTCGCATCAGCCTGAAGAACTTCGACACCTCAAGCCTTAAGCATACAAGCAGAATCAAGCATACCAGGCATACCTTAGCCACCTCCTGGTAGAACTCTCTTGCTGCGATGACGCCGAGGACGATGCTGAGTCGAAGCTGGGCCGGCATCGTGTCGCCAGCAGATGCTCTCTGTCTTTGCCTTCCTCACGGACGCCTGTGTCCCCCACGCTTTGCACCAGCGACGCCATACTTGCTCCACACGCTTTGCACCAGCGACGCCATACTTGCTCCAGACACTCCGAGGTGCAGTGCTACTGTACATGATGGCCTTGCACTCCCACCCCCACCCCCACCCACCCACCCCCACCCACACCCACCCACACCCACCCCCTACACAATAAAGCGCCATTCATGCACGGCCATCGTTGGAGGGATCCAAGAGCACAGGAGTGACACCACAGCAGAAACAAGGAACTACTCGTTCCGCCTGCAACTCGCACTCCCCGGTCTCTCCATGCAGGACAAAGATGCGCCTACTGCCACTGGCAATCATAGCTGCGCGGGCCTTGCTGCTGGTGTTCTTTCTGTAGTTGAGACTTTGTGCAGCAAGGGCATCGCTGGTTCGTGCTGTTACCAAGGTGGCAGCACAAGAAGAGGCACCCGCAACTGCTGAGCAGAAGGCAGTTCCCCAGCACGACCTGACATGCCGTGACAGGCTTTCTGGTTCATTTAAATGATATCTTGGGGCTTTGACAAAGCCTGGAAGGTTTATGGAATGTTACCCGTTGTTCCGTCACAGTTTCGCAAACCTGACCGAGTGCACAGGCACCTCCACGAAGACCGATCCTCTCGACTGACATTTTCCATGAGACTGCAGAGCTCTTCTACGACGTGTATGCTGGGCACTTTTACATCTGTGGTCAGCTGTAGCACTTTGCAGCATATTGCTTGCTAGCCTTTGGTTGTTCTGTCAAGGACTCCTTGCACAGCAGGTTTTTGAAGGCGCATATCGACAAGTCTTGGGCTCGGTAGAAGCCAAGGTTGGCCCTGACTTCTAGCAGACTTAGATGACGAGTGACTATCTTTCATGACGTTTCCGACTCAAGGCATTCAGCAACGCTTTCTGCCAGCGTTGCAGAGATTTTGCCAGCAGATCCTGTTGTCGTTCGGCTCCCGGCAGTCGACACTCCCAACTCTCCAAAGGGATCAGAGGCGTAGCACGGGGGTAGGACGGCGTAGGGCGATTAGCAGCATGGGGTAACTGAGTGTGGTACAGGCAGACCTCTTATTCACAAGCCACAAGACAAGCCCGCCGTGCTTCCTAGACTCTAGACACTGCAGACCTCCGTCCCTGTAGGCATGGCTGGAGAACACCTTGTGATACCTTCGGTTCAGGTTGAGCCTGTCACGTGCAAGTGGGCGCGGTCTAGGTATGTAACTGGCTCCCGGGCGTCTTTCCGCGATATAGGGTTTGTAACAACGCCGTTCTGCTTGCGACAAGCCTCCGCGACAAGCCTTTGCACAAACCCCTTCTTGGAACTGGAACCTTCGGCACGCAGGCATCTAGACAGCGCGCGAAACAGCCGCGACAAACCCCGCGACATGCGCATGAAACAAGTGGGTGCGACATACGTATGTAACACAGGCAGGGGTCGGGACACCGCGACATACCCCTATTTAGAGCCACAGCCAAGTGTGACGAGGAAGCGTGCAAGACGCTCCAGTGCGATGCCAAGCAGGTCGGGACCTGAGTACCGTATGGGAAATCGGCTGGGCAGCATGGCTTTCGCAAGAGCCGCAGGTCAAAGATGCAACCAGGACTTCACAGGACGAACTTGATAATGATGCCCAGCGTGGCATGATGTCTCACAGCATCACAGCCAGCAAAACAAAGTTTGCTCGAAACATCTCGAAACAATTTCCAACAGGACTACGCCCTGCGGATGTGGGAGACTGCGAAGCTCAGGATGACTGAGATGGAGCTGTTCCATTCTTAGCCGGCCGAGTCAATACTACCCCCCTGGCCTCAAGATCATGCACCGGTGATCTCGCTCCCGAGAATAGTTCCTAGGCCATCCTTGAAGTGAGACG